GAATATCTCTTATTTATCATATGGTATGTAACTTTTTATTTTGACTATATAATTTATTATCCATTTGTCATGAAATGTTCAATTTTTATCATTTTGAGTTTTGATTGGCTAACACTAAGTACAATTTTTCACATAAACATACAAATGCAATTCATTTTTGGTGGAATGAGTTGCAGTGAAACATACATTTTTTGTGACACACATTTTTTCAGATTTTTTAGCTTTATTACTTAATTATTGCCGCCATTCGAGGGGGGGGGCTGAAGATACAGTGTTAGTCAGCTTAAATAAATTTAGTTTTTATTAAGTTGAAATAACCTTTGTGACTTGACTAAACGCAATCTTTTGCTTGTAGTTATATAAAAATATGACACTAAATTCATAGTCAAGCACTTGCTTCGCTTCGCTGTGCTTATAAACACCTGTGCGCCAATTAATAAGGTTGCTGTAATACTTAAAAATAAATCATGTATTTATAGAAAAAACTTGAATATTCTCTATATGCTTTACAAAATGAAATTTGACATGATATATACCACATGCATTTATTAATTTTGAGGGTTGACTGTAATACTGCAATATGAAATAAAGAAGAACTTACAACAGTTTTGCGGTCAATCCTTAATATTTTTGTTTCATAGTGAGAGATGACATGAGTTATTTCCTGTAAATTTTGAAAATGCCTTTTCATAGGTGTATGATATATATTTTACTTTCATAAAAATAATTTTAGGAATTGCATTATATTTTCAGAAATGTTTTGTTATAAATTATGTACATCTCTCCATATTCTTTAACACTGAAAAAACCTGTCTTCTAGAATTTTCAAAAAAAAAAAAAAAAAGATATTGCAAGTACTGAAATAACAAAACAGATGTTTTCAAAAACTTCCTAGGATAAAATGGAAATTCCAGATATGAATACAATGTACATGGTATATCTCTTAGATAAATTTGACATGGTCAGTATCAGTTTTTATTATATAAGCTAAAACTACTTTTTGGATTGGTTTAAATATTACTTTTTATATAAAATCGAAATACAACAGGTCTGTATCAAAGCATATTTAGCATTTTCCCCTAAAAATACTTAAAATCAGCTTGATGAACCATATAAAAGCTATTTATAAGTTTTATAATGAAAGAAATATGGATATATGGATATTTTAGTTTGTGAATATGATTTGATATGAACTGTGGGAAAAATGATCTTAACTTCTGCTTCAGTACATATCACATCGGGCATCCATGTCTGAGTGATTAAGGTGGTTGACTTCCAAACCACTTGCCTCTCACTGCTGTGGGTTTGAATCTCGATTCTTCATGCTTACGGAACCTTGTGGTTCTACTCCGATGCCTGTTCATGCTTGAAATAAGCCCGTTCATGCTAGAGATAATGCACATAAGGGCACTTGTGGTCCACCAGTTAAACTGGAATGTCGCCATATGACTTATTCTATGTTGGTGCGACAAAAGAAAACCAAGAAAAAAAACCATAAAGAAACAACACATTTACACCTGCTAAAAAGTTCATATTTGTATATATAGATAGCCAGTATTATGGAACATGTTAATCTTTGTCAGAAAGATTTTAGTTGAGTAAATGCACAGATTTCTTGTATATATACCGTTGTATGTTTTCTAATTTGTACATTGTATACATTCAGTGCCAAAATATATATTTCATCGTGTAATAATAATGTATGTAAATTCTTATCAAATGTATTTTTTTGTGAAAAAAGGTTTTGTACTTGATTATTGTCATTATTATTATTATAATTATTATTATTTTGTGGCTTTAGTGTTGTTTATTTCCTTTGTGTTTGTTCAATGTTCTTTATAATAATTTTAAATGCAATATTCATTCAAATGCTTAAAACATATTCACTAGCTTTAGAGAATTACTAAAAATCAACTCAAAATAGTTTTAGTTTTTCATTTGTTAATTTTAAGGGCCATTCAAATTAGAAAGGAAAAAAATCATAGGGGTTTTGGCATACATGTATTAAGAGTGCTTGGTGTAAAAATTCATTTCTATTTTGAACTTTAGAAAACTGTTCTTTAGTGGCAAACTAGAAGTTATTATATGTACAGAAGTGGCAGAAAAGTGGTCAGTAACTGTATGTAGTAGAAGTAGTCAGTATCTGTATAGAACCCATTAATTTGACAGACTGGGCATTGATAACAACCATAGTTTACTCTTAATTACAGTATCTTTTTAACATCCTTATTTCAAAACATTTATTTTGCAATTGACTTGTGTTAATAAAACTGTTATATTTATGTTCAACTTGTGTGGTAGATGATGTGATGACACTTGTGTTGATATTTTGTGTTTGTTTTTGTAAACGGTGGTTAAAAGAATAATATTGTGATGGGGTGTATATAAATGATATCCTTCTGTTATATTTAACATGTGTTGATTTTATGAAAATAAATTGAATATTAAACATGGATATTTGTTCATTTTCTTAATTTCAAAAAGAGAAGTGCCTTGTAATGCAGAAGGAAAGAAAACAACTTTTGGCTGCTTATGTAATGACAAAGTGATAAAGAAATTATACATCTCAAAACAGCCTGTGTTCCAGCCTGTTTGATTTCTTTATGTCCTTCTGCTTGGCAAATTAACATTATCAAAACACGAGAGAATGTGAAAAAATATGCCTATGTTATGAATAAGCAAAAATTATCAACACCTGAATCCCAGGCTAGGACATACTCTATTTTATTTCAAGGTTTTATGAGTTCAGATTTATAACATTTAATATAAATTTTAAGAAGTAGATGCCCTCAAGAATAAATTAAAGCACAACCAGTTTAGAGAAATGGATTGTGCATGTTCTTGTCTGCATGGCTATACATGACTATTTCATTGCAATATTTTATGTAAATTTCTATTACAATATTACCTTGATTACAGCTGATGGGTCCTTGACAGATTTTCATTTCCATGGAGATTTGAATTTGTGGACATATATCATTTATAAAAGACATGGTATACACGGGCGAGCGGTGGCCTAGTGGTTAAGGTGTCTGTCTCTCAAACCAGGTATCATGGGTTTGAGCCCTAATCCGGTCACAAACATGTTTCTTCATATGACCCCAGTACTGGTTGGTTCCAGGAAGCAGAATCGAAAGTGATCAATATAAGTTGCAAGAACTTGTTTCTCAATTAAGCTTAAATAAATATGTTTAAACCAAAAGACTGGGTAGTCTGTTGCATTAAGTGTAGAGTACTTTCTTAATCAGTATTTTCACCATTTTCCAATTAAGCAAGATGAAATGATGATGAAGCCTATAAAATACAACAGTTGACTATTTTCTTTAATATTAACCTAATTTTATTACATGCTGTATTCTGGTATATAACATAACAGAATTTACCAATTTCTTATTTTAGGTAAGGTAGCCCAAGGTCTTTCAAATAGAAAGACCCTGGGTACATGTAGCCTTATTTTTTAGTTACCTTCAAATTGGCCCAGAGATTGAAGGCTCTAGCCCTATACTTGGTGTAATGATCAAGTTTCTTCATACATTGTTAGGCACTAGTGCTGGTTAATTCTAGGAAGATGACTCTGAGGATCTATTGCCGTAATGGACTTGCCATTCAATACAGTTTGGAATAATGAACATTACCTGAATATTGACCATAAAATACTGTTAACACTGACTCTACCCCAATCTTAGCATAAATATGTTTTTTTTTCACAGGACATATTAGATAATAATCACACCAAAGACATATTATAATAAATTACTTCAGTAGTATCTTATGAATAAACATAATTATAACAAGGTATATGGGTAATCTATACATTAAATTATGCACAAGGCAATTGTAACCCCAAGCCCACCTCGGGCAATAGAAGGGAGCCATCCCCAGGATGCCTTATAAATACAGTGTTAGTTTATATGGTATACAAAGATATGAATCGTGTGAGAGATAATGAAACATTCATTTTTATGCTAAACCATCATAAATTAGACATTACAGTTCATGAATATCTGTAGAAAATTTTCAAATAATCATTAAGGTATTTTATACCACATCCAGACTGATAAGGTTAGTAAGCGATATTAACCTATTTTAAATATTTTGTGATATGTGAAGATAAGACAGCATCTTGTCAACTAGTAAAATTTAGTACTGCGCAACCTCATTTAAGTGAGAACAAAATTTAGTCCTATTCAACATAGTCGAAACTGAAAGGAGATTATTAGTGTTGTACACTCTAAAAATGGCGTGTGAAAGTTTGCTGAAGTACTTTTTTGATTACTTTCAGAAATTTCCGAATAACTATCCGTCATTCATTGAACATGCAAAATGCATGTCCAGTTATCATAGACTTCTGTGATGCATCTGCTAAGTCAAGAAACTTGTCAAAAGCTGTTGTCGATTTCAAATTATCGAGTGGACTACCGTTGACGTTCTTTTTTCGCAACGGGCACGACGAAGTCGTGCAGTATTTAACTGGGAATACAAATCAACCAAGTGAAGCTATCAAATATCTTGAACATTTTCAAATTTGTTGTTAATGTTGGTAAGTATCTTAAATGAAATAAGTCTAAAATGCAGACTAATTAATTGATTAAAATCGGTTCCTAGTCAGGCTTGTTTGAGCTAAAAAAGACCGTTAGAGTGGATCGAGATATATAGTATACTATGAAACTGCATAAAATACTGTATAAAAATTCATATTTTCAAAAATTCATGTTTAGACTATTCAAATACAAAATGACTTGGAAAATCTTTTTCCAGTTGACTGATAACTAATGATAAAAATACCCTTCCACATAAAACAATGTGACAAATTTATGGTCCCTGATTGGGCGAAAAGATAAACTGGTGCTATTCTCTATTTGCTTGTCTTTTATGTCCAAGGTTATACACCACTTTCTGTCTTGATTGGTAGACATGTTGTTCTCAATTAACAAAGATGACAAGCTTGACATGGTTTCACTGAAAACATTTGTTTTAGTGCTTTGTGATGAATTTTGTTGTTTTTTCTTTTTCCAGAAAAACACACAGACTGTCTAAAATGCCTGTTTGATAAGAAAGAGAGAGAAAGCAAAGGGATTACAAAAGACTGCCATTTACAACTTATAGCTGCACACCTGTTTGGACCTCTGGCTGGTTATAGCAACTGCACAATAGACAACAAAGGTCTTCCTGGAAAATTTAAAAAATGTCCTGTTTGTAAACAAGATATATCTTCAGAATCAGGGAACACATCATTTGGTAGGCAAAGTTTTAGCAACATTTTTGGTAATATTACCCTTCTATACTGACTTGATATAATTTACCTGCTTTTGTCTTGAATTTACAACAACTCCTTCTTAGCCCTCCACCATCACAAAACTTCTTTTATCACACACCCGTGCTGATTTTGCGACTCCGTAAATTATGGTATTGCACGGCCTTGCATATATTTTGACGTGACGTTATTAGCGTTATACAAACATAGTGTAAAGACGCGCTAAATGTTCGCGTCATACTATAGGCGCGTCAATGAAAAATGACTCTTATTTCACTTTAAACAGTCTTTATTTTGGGTATGTGATAAATAGAATATTAAATTCGTGTAAGTTCATTACTGAATTTATTGCACTCGTTGAATAAAATAATATTATGCTCGCCAGAGGCTCGCATAATATAAATTTATTCAACGAGTGCAATAAATTCAGTATTGAACTTACACTCATTCAATATCCTCTATAAATGCACTTGTCCAGCTTCCATTTTTGGAACTGTCCATTATCAATTTTGAAGACGTTAAGGTGAAAATTTAATGTTAATCAGCCAACAGTAAAGAGCTTGATCAGACTGCATGGAAGTACAGGTTTGCCTTACAGGTTGGCTTAACTCTATCTTCTAGCTTGACTATTCAACCATATTGTCAAGCACTGAGTAAAGTTGAGTGCGCAGTCTTACATACAGCTCTTTTTAGATGGTCCTGTTTTAAATCAGTATAGCTCTTCAACATGATGTATACTGTGGTAAAGCATAATGTTAGCATGGAAGGAAATATGAAAATAAGCCTGTGAATATCTTATTACAAATGTCATTGTAATATTTTTTCTAGTTGTATTTGTTTATCATAGTTTTAAATTTGGTAGTACTTACACTCATTTATATATTGTATATCATTATGATTTCAGGTAATGGCAGTGTATGGCATGGCTTTGCTGATTTATTTGTGAACAAAAGTATTGTCAAGGTTGCTGAAGTAACTGATGATACTGATGAACCAATAGAGAAGAGAAGAAAATATGATGATTATGATGATGACTCTGATTCAGAAAGTAGTTTTAAGCCCAACAGGGAATTTAATGTAAAACAAGATTGTATTGGTGCAAAGGATATATCTCAGGGGCTAGCGCAAACAATTGTTAATGCATTTTGTGAAGTGCAGAAGAATGTTACATTAAAGAACACTTTTATTCCATCATTCATCATCTCATATAAGTACATTAAGATCGCAATGTATAATTGTGAATTAGACACATTGATACTGACTCCAGATTTGAGACTTCTGGTCAAATTAGATGCCATCCAGGAACCGTTTCTAGATTTCTCCACCATTTTAACTGTGTGGTTTGCTTTAAATTTTGAAATATTCGTTGATAAACAGGAGATTTTTGAAGAAGTTATGCCTGTGTCAAATTTTCAGAAGTTAGCAGGATCTAGACTACCATTTTACAAGAATCTATGTTGTAAACCAATGGTGGACAAAGTGGAATCTCTCCTAGTGATTATAAACTTCATCCTGAAAGTCAACAGATTGTGGGGAATGTGTTGGATAGACAATTGGAACACTGCAGGCAGCTCAATGCATTACTTAGTAACATGTCATAACTGTGAACTTTTATCACTGATCTTTCACCTCGCTAAAAATATAAAAAAACAGACTTGTCCAGCTTTCAGTCTGGACAAAACCATTCATTATTTTTAAGTGAAAATTTCAAATTATGTATTGACTGAGTAGTGATAGCAGACCATGATCATGGCATGGATGTGTCAATTGATCTTGGTCTACACTGGTCGTGTGGGAAGAAGTAGTTGCACCATCAGGCTAAGTGTTAAAAAATTGAACTTTTCTTATGAATGATTTTGTGCTGTCATGTTAATACTGATAGGCATTTATGAATGCATGATAAAATTACTCATTGGAAGTGTGGTTTTAATAAAACTGTTGCAGTATTAAGGTTATTTGTATTTAAAATTTGTTCATTAATGGGACCATGGATCATTAACATTATATGTAATTATAATGTAATTAAGTTATATAAAGTGTGCCCCTTTGAATAGAGCTTGGATAAGGTATATGGCATGTAGCATAATCTTGCCTCAACAAAAGTTATATAAATCCCACACATAAAAGTAAAATTGCCCCTCCCTTGGGGTTACTTAGACAGACATAAAGATATGTATATATAGGAAAGTACGAGTACAATACATGTAAATCTTACTGTGTGAAAGTACTTGACCGTGATCTCAGGTATTTGTTGTGAAGCATTGCTTAGTTAAAGAATAAAATGCCCTGCCCATTTAAATGATGACCTACATTTTGCATTAAAGAATTCTGACATTTCCAAGCAGTGGACCTCAGGTGAACGATCTAGGGCCATCATGGCCCTTTTGTGTAACTAAAGGTTTGTCAATTCCTCTGTAATTGTGGCTTGGTCACTTATACTTTACATGTAGTCAATTCAAGGTTGTCCCATTTAAATGGGTATCATGATACAGTTGGTGAAATAACTGATCTTCAGAGTAGAAGAGGGGGCATAATTTGGTCAATCCATGACATAGTTATCTCCCCAAACCAGAAGAAGGGATGGTAGTCCCTTACAAGTGTTGCAAGTTTCATGTTTAGTTTTAACATGGAAATGAATACATGTACGTTTTAAAATAGGATAAAACATGAATCATGGTTTAATTAAGTCCCAGAACATAAAAGAAGAAGAATAATTCTTTATTTCAAAATCCAACAACAATAAACAACAACAGTCTGGTTAAGGCTAATAAGCCATTGACCTGACACAAAATATAACTACAACATCTTGAGCAATGCAATACAATACACAGTACAATACAATACAGTGATGGACATTCAATAACAAAATTACCCACTATCAACATATTGTAACATACATGTATAATCAGAACTGTATGATATCAGTTACAATTTAATTTATATTAAAAACGCTACTGTATATTTTCATAAATAAATCATTCTGAGTATTTCAAAATAGAGGATGAATTCTGTCTCTTTTTTGAGCTTTGTTAAAACCCCATAACTCAGCTTCGTAAAATTAACTTCTCAAACAATTCTAAAATGTGTTCAATTGTAATATTAGTGTATAAAAATCGCTTTCTATGCATGATCAGATAAGGTTTTAAAGGGTCTCACTAAAAGAACCACCAGACGTAAAAACAATACCAAGATATGAAAATTTGTTTACTATTTTTAAAGGATATCCATCATAATAAAAGTGAAGATTATGTGGCAGACGGCCCCCTTTCCTGAAAACAATCATTTTTGTTTTAGCCTTATTAAGACATAGTATCCAATGCTTACAATACTTGTGCAAAATATTAAGATTATCATGTAATTCATCTTTTGAAGAAGAAAATATTACAATGTCATCAGCATACATTAACAAAAATAACTTAAAGTAACCAATGTCCATGCATTTTGACCCTTGTAGATAAAATTCGTCTTCAAGATCGTTTACAAAAAAGGAAAAGGCTTTTGCCCTGTCTTACTCCTAAATAACTTTCAAATATTTCCCCTACGTTATTATTGTCCCCCGCCTTTTCGAAGAAAAAAGGGGGATATAGAAATAGGCTCCGTCCGTCTGTCCGTCCGTTCGTCACACTTTCGTGTCTGGTCCATAACTTTGTCATTTATGAAAGGAATTTGAAATATCTTGGCACAAATGTTTATTATAATAAGACGATGTATCATGCGCAAAACCAGACCCCTACCTCCAGGTCAAGGTCGCACTTGCTCATTCAAGGTTAACATTGTCTATTTGAGGGTATATGTCGTGTCCTGTCCATAACTTTCTTATCTATGAAGGGATTTTGTAAATACTTGCCATAATTGTTCACAATAATCAGACGATGTGTCATGCGCAAAAACCAGTCACCTACCTTCAAGGTCATATTCACACTTTGAGGTTAAATATTAACATAGTCTGTTACAGGGTATATTTCGTGTCCGGTCCATAACTTTGTCATTTATTAAAGAAATTTGAAATAACTTGGCACAAATGTTTGTTATAATAAGACGATGTGTCATGCGCAAAAACCGGTCACCTGCCTCCAAGGTCAAGGTCACACATGGAGGCCAAATACTTACATAGTCTGTTATTTGGTATTTTTTGTGTCCCGTCCATTACTTCTTCATAGATGAAGGGATTTTGAAAATACTTGGCACAAATAGTCACAATGATTAGATGATATGTCATGCGTAACATCAGTGTCACTACCTCCAAGGTCAAGGTCACACTTAGAGGTCAAATATTTACATAGTCTGTTATAGGGTATATTTTGTGTCCAATCTATAACTTCTTCATAGTTCAAGGGATTTTGAAAATACTTGGCACAAATAGTCTCAATAATAAGACGTTATGTCATGCACAACACCTGCTCCCCTACCTCCAAGGTCAAGGTCACACTTAGAGGTCAAAGCTTAACATGATAGATTTTTAAATTCCGTGTTTCATTTTATTGTTTTAACAAATTTATTGTTGCATTTGCAGATCTAGCATTGATCATAATTTTAGACTGAATGTCCTGAGATCCATACCTCAATCTTTTGAAATAGCACAATTTTATGCTTCATATAAAACTTCCCGAGGCGGGAGATTGGTAACTCTGTTACAAATTCTTGTTTAATATTACTTTCGATGTAACACAGCTGCAAAAACATTCAAACATTATACATGTATACATTTACAACAAAAAGTGCGGTAAGAGCGATGAAAAGGGTATGAATACTGCAGTTGGTTGCATTACTTACACTAGACAAAAAAACAAAACAAAACAAAAAACACACACACACACAAAAAGATTCACGCGAGAACGAGAAGACGCCCCTGACGTCGTTACCATGACGTTACATCGAGACAACGTCAAAACGTTACGAATCTTTCATTGCATATTGCCGCAATCTACATCGTCTGCAAATTATCGCAAAACAACATGGAAGTTGAAATTGATACAACAGCCAGAAATGGTATTTGGAAGCGTTTGTCAAGAAATATCAGTCAAAGCAAACTTGGAGAATTCGCAAGAGCTGTTAATAGAGTATTTTCAAGCACCAAGATTAGGAACAGAATTAAAACCCAAGAAATTGCTCCTGTGTCGTCTGCTTTTGTTTATCCAGATGACAGATACCTCTGCAATGAGGAAATTCTCCATCAACTTGAAGTCCTAGAAAGACGTTTCAATCAACAGACAGATATTCTTGCCAGTGCACAAGGTAAAATACAATGTATTTTTGATACTGTACTTGCTAATAATAAATTTGTAATAACAGAGACATAGATAACTATGTCTCTGGTAATAATAATGATGATGACGAGGATTTCTCTAAATTAAAAATATAATATTTATATACGAATTTTAATTTCATTGCATAATGTTTTATTGTATTGCAGGCAAAGAAGTATATTTCAAGAAGGCCAAACCATATCACGGAGATATTTGCCCAGACATCAAACCTGACCCTCTGCCATTTCTCATGGCGACTCTACGTCCTGCCCGTTACACCGAGGTAAAGTTTGCTGAGCTAGAGAAGTTGGTGCAGCAAGTAAAGGAGAGGAGACAAAGATTAGTTAACCTTGAATCAAACCGACAATTAACAGGTAACTATCATGTTCCTTAAATTTGTTGACTTACTTTATGATTCGTAAATTACTGCCTAACTTTTCATTTAGTTTGCTTAGTACAATCGTACAATGCTTTTATAGATGTAGATGTATCGCGTTCATAAGATGTTTATTTTATTTATCTGTAACTTTATTATCACATATTGTTTGATAGAAGTTAGACAACTCTTACTCCTTTCTATTCACTGAAATTCCCTTGTCATGCTATATTCTAACATTTGTGTTTCTATTTACATTTCAGATATCAAAGTCTGAAGTTCCGAACCGAGCTGGCAGTTTTTTTTATATATTTTTCTTTTATTTTCTTTACTAGAATATATAACCTTTTTTTTTCTGCCAAATACACTATTTAGTATTTTGCTCGATTTCTGTCTTGTGTTTTATCTTATAACATTCTCCGTCTTATAAAAAAAGTTATATTAAATAATTACACTACCATTTGTACCCGCAAAATTATTCTACCCACTGTTTCCTTTCTTAAGACGTATGTGTTTCTAACCCAAAACTAAAAGGTGTTAATCAACTCTTTTTTTTTTCATTCTGATATGAAAGTAACCGCCTTATTAAGCCAGTATTAAACAATCGTGGTCCTATTTTTATTTTTAGATGGTAGTGTTTCCGTCGTTCTCCGTTATCCACAATTTCTTTAAACAACAACTCCTCCTAAAGCACTTGATGGATTTTGACGAAACTTCATAGGAATGATCATTACGGTGTCGTTTACAAAAGTTCTCTTAATGGGCCAGTCTGACGAAAAAGGTCAAAGGAGCTGAAAGGAAAGTTTTAAAAATCTTCTCAGAAACTACAACGCCCAGAGCCAAAATATTTGACAAATGTTATTTAAATGATTCAACCACTCTGATGCATAAGTAGGTCACAGGAGCTAAAAAGTAGACTTTAAATAAAAAATCTCTAATAAAAGTTCTTATCAGAAATTATAATGCCAAGAGCTAAAATGTTTGGTTTATAGCATCACCTTAGTTGACATGCAATAAGCGGACATCTACTAAAGTGATAAGTTCGACTTAAAAAACGAGAAAATAAATAGAGGATATTTGTTTAGTTCAGTGTAGGATCGGAATATATTTCACCGAGTGAGCACCAAAATGTATATTTCACGAGTGGCGCAGCCACGAGTGAAATTTGAACTTTTGGTGTTCACAAGGTGGAATATATTTCGATCTTACACTAAACTAAACAAATTTTCTTTTTATTATATGCAAAGAAACGTTTTAAAAAGGCATTAAACCTAATACTGAATGAAAAGCGCGCCATATAATAAAACATCGTGACGTCATTTACGACGTCACGTCATTAAGTTGGTTCCCAGTACTATGCACGCTGGTATTTCACTAAAACAACGTAAGGGGCTTAAATTCAAAACAGTGAAATTATCAAATTGATAATTTCACTGTTTCAAACAGTGAAATTACCAGTTTTATATCACCGATATATTTTTTATAAACCACCGAAAAGCATGTAATAAAAAAGAGTAATTGTTACAGTCACCTCGGCGTTGCTGTTGACGTCCCCCACCCCGCAAACTTGGACCTTGATCACAACTTTTTGAGTTATTGGTGTATTGTCTTCTTACTTAGCCACAACATTCATTGGAAGAAGACCTTTAAGTACAACAGGCTAATTTTACCTTATTCATGACCGACCTTATATTTCAAGGACAAATATCTAAATTTTGCTTGTTTTCCTATGCTGATTTTTATTTGTTTGGGTCATCAGACCCTGATGCTGTTAATTGCAAATGCCGAAAGTAGTCCGCTTTTTTAAAGCGGTTTCTTTCCTTTATATGTACACTTACGCCGAAAAGTTCAGGGGAAATCACTGCGTAAAGATGGTCAAATGACAGGCGCATTAAATTTCAAGCAAAATAGTTCCCGAATGGTCGAAGATTTCTAATATTGTTTTATTTTTTATAGATATACATGCTTATAGTAAGCTCCATGATTATTTACATCTGTATTTAACAACAGTTAGCGTCGAAATAATAATTAAGGGTTACAAACCCTAATTTAGAATAATATGGTTTTCTTCAGGCCGTTAACATATAACTTCATCGTAGCTGAGGGGTTTGCACGCTCGCTTAGGAAGCGATAAGTCTGGATTTCAAATCCCAGTTAAGACAACTCATTTTTTTCAAATTGTTTAAGTCAAATAAACATTGAATTGAATATCAGTGTTGCAATTAGTCTTATAGCCAATTCACTACAATTAAAACGCGGGAAAGCATTAGTGGCACTTTACAAAAACAAATTGGTTTATAATCTCACAACCTTCACCTTTCTGACATTCTGAGACCCAAACAAATTCAGCGCCTTCTGTGCTTTGATTTTCTATAAGTGGCTATAACTTTGTTATTTTTGAATGGATTATCTTCAAACTTGAACATAAAAATCTTTTAGGAAAAACCTTAAAGATAACCATACAGACATGATTGATTTAATATTATTAGAGAACATTTCTTATGTAAAGACCCAATTTGACTTTGGCTCATTGATGACCTTGACCTTGGAGATTAGATTATTGAATTTTCACAGATATTTACTTAATTTGTCTGTAACTTGGTAATTAATGAACGATTATCTTCATACTTTGACAAACAACCTTTTGGACAATACCGTCTAAAGGTTGAACTTACCTTGGCCTTTAAATGACAGTGACCTTCAAAGTCAAATTATTTGATTTTGGTTAAATTGTCATAATTTTGTTATTTATGTATGGACTTGATTTTAACTTGAACAAAACAAGACTTGCCACTTAACAAACATATTGAATAATTTACATGTGACATTGGCCTTTAATGCACCTTGACTGTCAAGGTCAAATTAATGAAATTCTTTTGTTTTTTTAACTCACCTGACCATGAAGTGGTCAAGGTGAGGTATAGTGATGGGGCTATGTCCGGCGTCCGTCGTCGTGCGTCGTCAACAATTGGGTTGTTAACAGTCTAGCAGTCACGGTTTTGATTGGATCATCATCAAACTTTTTCAGAATGTTTGTCTTAATGAAATACAGATCGAGTTCGAAGATTGATTATCTCGGGTCAAAAACTAGATCACAGGAGCTAAAAATAGAAAAAGCTTGTTAACACTCTAGTGGCTGCAGTTTTCATCCAAATATTCTGAAAATTTCTCAGAAAGGTTGTTTTGATGATTTCTAGGTCAAGTTCGAAGATGGGTCATTCCGGTCAAAAACTAGGTCACAGGAGCTAAAAATAGAAAAAGCTTGTTAACACTCTAGAGGCTGCAGTTTTGAACCAAATATTCTGGAAATTTGTCAGGAAGGTTAATTTGATGATATCTAAGTCAAGTTTGAAGATGGGTCATGTCCGGTCAAAAACTAGGTCACAGGAGCTAAAAATAGAAAAAGCTTGTTAACACTCTAGTGGCTAAGTTTTGATTCAAATAGTCTGGAAATTTGTCAGGAAGGTTGTTTTGATGATTTCTAGGTCAAGTTCGGAGATGGGTCATCTCCGGTCAAAAACTAGGTCAAAGGAGCTTAAAATAGAAAAAGCTTGTCAACACTCTAGTGGCTGCAGTTTTCATCCAAATATTCTGGAAATTTGTCAGGAAGGTTGTTTTGATGATTTCTAGGTCAAGTTTGAAGATTGGTCATGTCAGGTCAAAAACTAGGTCACAGGAGCTAGAAATAGAAAAAGCTTGTTAACACTCTAGTGGCTGCAGTTTCCTCTATATATTCTGGAAATTTGTCAAGAAGGTTGTTTTGATGATATCTAAGTCAAGTTTGAAGATGGGTCATGTCCGGTCAAAAACTAGGTCACAGGAGCTAAAAAAAGAAAAAGCTTGTTAACACTCTAGGGGCTGCAGTTTTCATCCAAATATTCTGGAAATTTGTCAGGAAGGTTGTTTTCCGGTCAAAAACTAGGTCACAGGAGCTAAAAATAGAAAAAGCTTGTTAACGCTCTAGTGGCTGCAGTTTTGTTTCAAATAGTCTGGAAATTTGTCAGGAAGGTTGTTTTAATGATTTCAAGGTCAAGTTCGAAGATGGGTCATCTCCGGTTAAAAACTAGGTCACAGGAGCTAAAAATAGAAAAAGCTTGTTTACACTCTAGTGGCTGCAGTTTTGATTCAAATATTCTTGAAATTTGTCAGAAAGGTTGTTTTGATGATTTCTAGGTCAAGTTTGAAGATGGGTCATCTCCGGTCAAAAACTAGGCCACAGGAGCTAAAAATAGAAAAAGCTTGTAACACTCTAGTGGCTGCAGTTTTGAACCAAATATTCTGGAAATTTGTCAGTAAGGTTGTTTTGATGATTTCTGGGTCAAGTGCGAACATTGGTCATTTCCAGTCAAAAACTAGGTCACAGGAGCTAAAAATAGAAAAAACTTTTTAACACTCTAGTGGCTGCAGTTTTGACCCAAATTACCTGGAAATTGGTCAGGAAGGTTGTTTTTATGATTTCTAGGTCTAGTTTGAATATGGGTCTTGTTCGGTCAAAAATTAGGTCACATTGCCCAAATAGAAAAAACTTTTTAACACACTAGAGGTCACATGTTTGACTCAGTTGTCATCAAACTTGGCCATGATGCTTGTCTAAGTCATTGCTGGGATACGGTTGTGTCAGGTGAGCGATCCAGGGCCATTAAAAAATAAAAATTGGAATTGTGATTTTTCTAGAAATTTAACTCAGGTGAGCGACCGCGGGTCATCATGACTCTCTTGTTTAAAGCCATAGACGGTCTGTCGACCGGTCAGTAAGCCGATAAGATTCTTCATCTGACATTAGACAGTTCTATTGTAATTTACTGCATTATTGTGGTAACAACCTAGGGACACTGTCTGCAATGATTATTACTCTCTCTGATGCCAGGGGATCATATTAAGATGTTATACATACAAAACGCTACCTAACAAACAGTTGCTTTTTCTGTACTGTAAAACAGAATTTGTGTGCATCTGATGTTACATGCGAAATGAAAACATTTAGCATGAAATGGGGTCACTGCGCTCATCTGCATGTGTATTTTGTTACATCAATATGTAAACAAAATGCCTTTTTTTCTGAAGAAGACAAAATGTCGAAAAGCTGAGAAAAGCGTTTGTTTTTTTATTGAACTGATCATATTACTTATACTTGTATCAATGTGTGTAACTTTATAAGACCCGTATAGTTTGAGAAGTCTTTGTTGACACAAGATTCTGTATGAATGTTTTAATTTTGATGTTATTATTTTCGTGTTGGTCAGCTTTTTGAAGTGAGTGCATGTTATCCCGAACATAGGTATATGTACATGACAACATTTTTCAGATTTCATAAATTAAAGTAAATGGATATGGTATATTTTGTACATGAGCGTAAGATGTCGTGGGAATTGTTGGGTTAGAAATCCATACAAGAAAGGGAAACAGCGAGTAGAAATCTCTCAAATTGAGCGAGTATTAGATGCATTTATCTAGTACAAAACTGGGAATAATAATATAACACAAGACAGAAATCGAGCAAAATACTAAATAGTGTATTTGGCAGAAAAAAATATTATGGTTAAACTAGTAAAAAAAATAAAAAAAAAAAACTGCCAGCTCGATTCAGCACTTCAGAATAGGGTATCTGAAAGATAATAGAAATACACATAATATTATAAGAAAATAACATAAGAAAATAACATATCATGGTAAATAACTAGGGCAAAAATCACTTGCTATGGGGAAGTAAGAGTTGTCGAACTTCTATTCTTTTTTTTATCAACCATTACTAGGTAAAAAAATTCTAATAAATAAAAAGGTCCATTAGGTCCATTAATATTGGATACAGATACATAAAATAAATCTGTTTATAAATAGGATAAATGAAAAGTTAGGCAGTAATTCATGAATCATTTGGTAAATCAATAAATTTAAAGAACACAATAGTTACCTGTTGTTTGCTGCCTTGAAGTTAACGTATCTAATCTTTGTCTCCTCTCCTTCACTTGCTGCACCAACTTCTCTAGCTCAGTAAACTTTTCCTCGGTATAACGGGCAGGTCGTAAAGTCGCCATGAGAAATGGTAGAGGGTCAGGTTTGATGTCTGGTGAAATATCACCGTGATATGGTTTGGCCTTCTTGAAATGTTCTTCTTTGCCTGAATAAAATAAAGCATAATACAATGAAATTAAAATTTATTATTATTATTATTGTTATTGTAATTGTAATTGTAATTGTAATTGTAATTGTTATTGTAATTGTTATTGTTATTGTAATTGTTATCTTTATTAGGTTTGAATATAAAAGGCAACATATTTTTACAACTAAAAGCTACATATTTTACCTTGAGCTCTGGCTAGAATATCTGTCTGTTGATTGAATCGTCTTTCAAGGAGTTCAAGCTGACGCAGAATTTCGTCATTACAGAGGTATCTGTCATCTGGATAAACAAAAGCAGACGACACGGGATTTGGAACTTGGACTTTGTTACTTTTCCTGCACATCTTGATGCTCGAAAATACTCTATTAACAGCTCTTGCAAACTCACCGAGTTTGCTTTGACTGATATTTCTCGATAAGCGCTTCCAAATACTATTTCTGGTAGTAGTATCAATTTCAACTTCCATGTTGTTTTTACAATAATATGCAGACGATGTAGAAATGCGACAATATGCAATGAAAGATTCTTAACGTTTTGACGTTATCTCGATGTAACGTCATGGTAACGACGTCAGGGGCGTCTTCTCAGTCTCGCGTGATTTCTTTTTTCTTTTTTTTCTCTTTTTTTGGCTGCGCGACATAAAATGAAAAAAATACCGTTTTCAGTGTGCAAAAGTCCTGTATTCATTCCCACCCAACGTTGATATTAAAGTTTCCTTTGATAGAAAGGGCAAATTAAGTTAGTTAAAGCCCCATTATGCCTCAGTAATGCTTTTAATTTTATTTCTCGGAAGCTTTTTAATTTTATGTACTTTATAAGTACATTTGTATTCAAAAAGTTTCTCATAGGCCAATTTCCTAAACTATCTCTTTTGTGTGTTGCTTTTTTGGCAATAAGTACAGTAATAGTAAATTACTCTTGTACTCTTCAAATTTGGAGGAATAAAAGAATCTATCTACTTTACTTTCATGTTGCTTCTTTAATTTTGCTACTACCAAAAACGCGATGCCTTTGCCACTAATTAAAGTATGTCCCTCGTATCTTCAGTAAAGTAATAACTCGTACTAGCAAAATAGAGTATAAATTGTTATTTACTTAAAGACCCATTATGCCTCAGAAATGCTAATTTTTATTTTACAAAACTATATTTTTGGTATCTTGTCACAGTTTCTAAAAAATAAATACTCATTGACCATATAGATGAACTGTCTGCTATTTTACTTCGTTGGCAATCGGTATAATGATAGTGAGTCAGTATTTTGTACTTTGGAAGTCAAAATACTACTTTGTTCACATTTGACACGTATATAATAACTGCACATTCAGCGCTACTTTCTTCAGCTGTTAAACATCTAACATGCTCTAAATCCATTCGTAAAACATAATTAAACACACGCTTGACATTTCTACATACTTTAATAAATATGGATTTCTGAGGCATAACATGCCTTTAATTATAAATGATAAGAATGAAAAAAAACCAACAAAAGTTAGTACTTCTTTATCATTTTATCGTTAAAGGGATATTCAGGCAAAATAATAACAAAAATATTAAAATGATCTTATGTACTCAAATCACGCTAAAATGACTTTTCTTGAAGTCTCAGTATGAATTTCTGTTTAAATTCTATATATTTTAGGTTTGAAACGTAAATATATCTATATTTGTTGAACAAAATTAGGACGCAAACAGAATCACCAACTAGTTTTTAAACAAGTCAGGTGACTTAAACAAACCCTTGAAGTTACAACAACAGATATTGTGGATATTGTATGATTGAAACAAACCTAAGTCATTCATTTGACATGTTCTTTAACGTTTCCAGAGTTCACATTGACAACTATTGTGAAATGCTAGCGCTCTAACCTGACCCACGCGGGTCAAGTTAGGAAACCACCATTTTATTCTTTATATGGAGAAAAGTTTTGTTCCTTTGACTGTCTAAAGTATTCATTTTGAGGGCATATATTATACAGAAAAATGAACGAAAAATTCAAAACTTAGAAATAACAATTTTGCCTGTATCTCCCTTTAAGGAATGAATGAATGAATACATGATGAATGAATGAATAAAAAAAATAAATTAATGAATATTTGTATATGGGCTAACAGATGAAGAGGTATTAAATACATGTTAACTGTTATATTTAATCAGGGTCTTTCAAATTTCTATTTGAAATACCCTAATTAAATTAAGTGCTAGTGTTTCGTAATTATTCCCTATTGTAAATGAATAAGAGTTTAATAATTATGATTTGATAAGACTATAATATGACAACAAGAAGGCAACGTTTTCAAGCTTAATTTTCTTTAAATAATGTTTCATGCGGTGGAGACATTATAAAAAGTTAAATTCCATATTCGTATCATTATTATGTAAAATGCTTTTGCCGCTTGCGGGAAATTTAAAATGCATTCCAATTAAAACTACACTTCGGACTGAAGCGTAGCACAATTAGAAGAGGAAAAACCAACAAAACAAAATACAAAATATAAAAACACAGTCTTTCTTCAAATACATTTGAATCATAAAATTGTCAAACAAAAATTGGTTGTTATAAAAAGACATGACCAAAGTCTCCAAAGTTTTATCACGGAATAAAAATATAAAACCGAATGCTGATTTAACACAAACGTTGAAAACAAATGAAACAACGTTTTAACGACATATACGATCATATCTGACGTTGATTTACGTTACCTTAAGTTAACCTCAAACAATAGAAAATTCATCAAGATCATGAACATTTTATGGACGAGTGACCATGCTATAGATAGCTGACCATTCAGAATGAATATATCTACTTTTGTCCCTCGTTATTGGTCAGTCTAAGTATCGGTCAGTAAATATGACGTTAACGTCACACGTAAAGAAATGCGTTAATGCTTAAAGGAAGTAATAAGCGAAGATCTCCTATATAAGACAATGTAAGAAGTTTACAGACACCAAACTACAGGCAGTTACAGCAAGTGATCAACAAAAAAAAGTTGCAGCAACTGAAAGGTAATTAGTTATATTTTCTTTCCATATGATTTTCCATTGAAATAGGTGAATATAATTTTTTTTTAATTTGGCTTGACTCTAAGAAAATTGCTATTATTTCGCCAATTTACAAGTAAACAAGATCTGTTGCAAAGGTTCAGCATGTTTCTGACTGCAATAAACTGACAAACAGAAATTTAAAATAAAATGAGTTTTTTTACTTATCTCAGGTATCGACCCTTAAAAATGACCCTTAAGAGCAAATAACTCACTTTCAGGGGCAGATAACTCAAAAAGTAGGAGGGTGACCCCGAATTTTTTATTCATCAATTTGTTTTAATTCTCTTTAATCATGCAAAGATGAAGAAAAAATTTTCTGCACTAGTTCGAAATTATTGAAAGAATTTCACATTAAGGGCATACTATTGTTAAGCAATACCGAGTGCTTGCATTGTCCTCTATTCGTAGCACACTACAAACTTATCTTGTCCGTTAATGAGTTTTTGGAACAAATACATATTTAATCATTATTTATTGTCTTCATGCTTGAAAAATAAGAAATATCTTGTAACACAAACCCAACTATCTCGGGCATTTACTTCTTAAAATCATACCAGTGCCCTCTCATGTTTTGGTCAATGTACGATGAATTTATCTGAAATGATATTGCATTTAATCACAACATATTTTAACTATTTCAGCACATGAAGATGGTTTCTTCTTTCTACACGGTGACCATTATACTTTGTATACAAATCATACTATGTTCAAGCAACGCTGTGAACGATAAAAATGTGGGCGGAGCAAGTGGCAAAACTCAAAGACCCGGTCCCGGTAAGTCTGTTTGCACTATCAACGTGATAATGTTTTATTATATACTTATTAATGAAATATTGAAAATTTGTTGAAATAAAATGCTTATTTTCATTTTCCTTATCTTTATTATTAAAAAATATTTTTCACTGCAGTGAAACATATTTTCCGTATTTTCAATGGTGTTTTGCCAGAATACTTTCTTCTTAATTCAGCCAATACACAAAATAATAGTGAAAGTCTTTCAAATTGTAAGGCCAAAATAAAAAAGAGAGAAAAAATGTATATAATGAACAAAAAATTTAAGTTTTTCTATAAATACAGGATTAATATTCATCTTGTGGTATAAAAATTATCATATTTCAAACACTTCATAAAAATAGATCCTGTATTTATAGAAAAAACTTGAATATCCTCTATATTATTTTGATTTACATCCGTGTATATGTACATGTATACAGGTCATATAGTTAATTGCAATATACATGTATATATATATATAAGATTCATTAACAAGGGATTGTTATGTCATATTCGTTGGTTTGCTCCACAGAAAACGTGTTCAATTGTTAGCAGAATGCCTTTTCTTTGGCAGATTATCACTGTGAGCAGTCTGCAATGTATAGGGTTTCGCAAGCTCTCATTTGTGCCATATCCATGATATCAAACCCTAAGAAGTATTGCTTACCTATGGTGTTTCGTTAGGTCCGTCGTTTATTTTCACTGTTTCAACCCGTTCATCGGGAAGAACGAAGCGATACAATTTATCTGCGTATGTGCCACTTTTTACTCAAAATGCGCAGGTGATTTGGTCTGTTCATCATCATTAATATATCTTATTATTTTTGTATGATTTTTTTCCAGAATGCACATTACGCAAGAATAAAGGCGATTGTAACGAAAGCATTAAGAAATTTTATTACGATGAAGCAACTGGATTTTGTCGGGAATTTAACTATACCGGTTGCGGGGGAAATCTCAACAACTTTCAAACAATTGACAAATGTTATAGCAGATGTGTATGCCAGAACCCAAAAGATAAAGGTGTAGGGTCAAACAGGATCACTCGTTATTTCTATAACGCCGACACTGGAACCTGTGAAGAATTCAAATACAGAGGTGCAGGTGGAAACTCGAATAAATTTGTATCTTTGACGCAGTGTCAAAACACATGCGTCCGTACGACACTGAGGCGGAAATGTAACAATCGTCCAGATCCCGGAAGCAACTGCAACAATAATTCTACAGTTCAGTTTTACTACGACAAACATTGCGACTGTTGTCGTAGATTTACATACCTCGGATGTGACGGAAACAAAAATCGATTCCCAACACGACAGAAGTGCAGGAAACAATGTATTGTCAAAGAGCAGTCAACTCCAGTCCCGCCAACACGACCCCCAAAGCCGGCATTATGTTTCTTTCAGAGCGTTTACGGGGATTGTGACCAAGTCCGTACACGGTATTATTTTGACAATAGGCTAGGCAGATGTGTACCATTTACATATTCAGGATGCGGCGGAAATGAAAATAATTTCTTAACTCTTTTCATGTGTAGGCGAACATGTGAAGTTACTCAGTAGTTTCTATATATGCCTTTTATTTGAATATCAAACATTTCAGCCATTCAGTTGTGAGAAATGTGTGCCAAAATTTGTATTTATCTGTGGAAAGTTGTTATTAATGCTAGAAATGCTAGAAAGAGATGCTTATATACATGTTTAACATGCTCCTTATCAAAAGTATCTTTATCAATTTCAAACTTAGTAATTTTGTTTTGCAGCAATGCTTTGTTAATAATTGTCAACACGATAACGTCTTCACGATAACATTTCGGATTGCTTATTATAATAAACACATTACATAAAAATAAAAAAAAAATCTTATGTATAAAAATTTGATTTGGGAAACGAATGTATCAATACCCTATTACTACTACAAGGCACTTTGAATGGATCTTCTGCTATTCTATTTCTTTAAACTTTAAATTACATGAATGTATAGATCTTTATCATAAAAAGTTAATTCTTACTTAATTTACAAGATGATTCAATGTGCTATATATTATTTGTATTGTGATATTTATTTTTCACTAATTTCTCATTTGTAATTGTGCAATAAATCATTATGAATTTTTCATCATCGTTTTGTTTTGTTTAATATATACTATCGTAGTGATATGAAATATTAAACTATACATGCACTAAACTATATAATAAGCGAATCTATTATTGGATAGCAACTGAGCAAGGCCATTGGACCGAGGACCAGAAATTGCTATCTATATTCAAAACATAAATGTTTTACATTAATTGCATGGTCATTTACACTGTAATTATACTGTCATGTACCTTAAGATTTGGTCGAAAGTCAAGTCATAAAGCAATCATAGACAGTAAAAAATAGAATAATGCCCCATAATATGCAGTCCCGGTCCGGAGTTCCCGCAAAACAGCCTAAAAGTGAAACTTTAAAGTGAATTATCATAAGGCAACACAAACAATGTCTTTGTTTAAATAAAAATCTTCTTGCATTTATTAAATTTGTGCCAGTTGATCTCTTGAATGATTCAAACATACAAAAGTCCGAGAAGATTCAGAAGCAGATTTGCTGCTAGATCATATCTACGTAGAATTGTCGTCTGCAAATTCAACCTTCTGCATAAATAAAAAGCTTAAAATTTGCGGCAAAGACATACAATTGATTGAAAAGAAATATCCGTAACTACAAGAACACTTGTGTTGTCGTGTGTTGCATTTTCTTCTTTTTGTTGTTTTATGTTGTTCATGGGACAGAAGATAACTTTCTTCTGTCCCAGGTTGTTTATTGTGATCTGGGCTGTCAACAAGGTGCATCGTCTTTTACCGGAAACATGCTTGTTTATGTTCCTACCGTCACTTTAGATGGATTTCAATAATCCCTGTTATGTTCCTATAAATGAACAACGGAAGGTCGGTGATTTTAATCAGATACCAGCTGCTGTTGCCTGAAATAATGGACGTTGGGGTTCTTAAGGTCGTCCTGTACCAGAAAAACTGGAAAGTCGCATATAATCTACATTAATAGTCGGTGGACCAAGGCAATTGGTAGACAGGGATTTATCCATCACTCATTTTAAATGACTGAGAACTTCCTCATGTATAGGCATGAAATAGTGCTACCATAACCACAAATGTAGTGCAACCAAAACCAAAAATGAAATATATTTAAGTATGTTTAATTTCAACTTTAACTGTAGCTGTTGTCTCCCTTGTTATACGCATCGAACATTTTGTTGCCATGATTAGAGGCCATTAACTTCACATATATTCTTTAAATTAAGGTGATATTAAGTTTATAGCATAGCATTGTTTTATTTTCTAATAAGTCAATGCTATGCTATTATTTCATCATTTGCCAGACAAGTGCCCCCATCCCGCATCGCAGTGGAGATGACGTGCGAAGTAATTACCGTGCATCACAACCGGCACTGCTCGATCAAGGTGGCTGATTTTCCTTATGGCGCTAAAACAGTGGCGGGAATGTCCAACTTGTAACGCGAGGGACATTTATAAGGGACTTTACCATAGGGTCACTCTGCAGTGCGGGGCCTTTACCAAGGGTTTGAAAATAACAAGGTCAAAGTCCCAGCTTTTCACTCTGCATGGTATGAACGGGTGGAGTAGGGTTTCAATTCACTCCAGAATTAAAACGCACCCAACATTTGTGAACCGGCTGACCATGAATTCAACTAAAAACTACAACAGCAACATTGTCTTTCTGATATGTTTAATTACAACCAGTTATGTAATGAATGGAATGTACATATATATGTATAAACACTATAAAATATCTCAAATCATCTTGACTATACAGAATTAAAAGTAAAACAAGGATAAAAAGATAAGAGCCATTAATTGACAGGAAATGACAAGATCAACTTACTTGATATGTAAACATGTAGATAATGTGTAGACATGAGATAATTGCGACTTGAAATGTGAAGCTTTAATTTCTTAGAAAATCCACTTAAGTTAATTTAGATTGTAACACAGACCGTGAATATATTATTCCTGTTAATCTGATTGAAGATTTTAAAACTGAAACTGTACTTATGACAAATTTACAATCTAACAATAGTCATTGTCATTTCAAATACCTATAACATGCCGACTTTTTAATGGTCTTTTTGGGACTGTCCATTATCAATTTTGGGTATATCAAGATAACAAGTTAAAAACATAATTACAAGTGTGTCTGGCTGAAGGCTAATAACCTTTTTTCCATAAGGGTAAGGGTTATCTAATGTACTTATTTTTTTTGCCTTAACATTATTCTGTATTAATGTGGAATCTTTAAAGAAGGCATGCTCACAATCAAATAGTGGCAATAAATATCTTAAGATTTCAAAACGTAGTAACTGGAGAAACTTTTAAGTAAAAATAAAACCACTGATTGTGTATGAAAGTAATCATTTATATATAATAACACATGACCTAGCTTTTTGACATGATACAAGTGTCTACATGTCATAAAGCAGCACAATAAAAGATATCAAAAACTTCCTTGTAGAAGAAACAACATTATGTTATCCTTAAACGTTGTTGCTTGTTGTTTTTAATACATTCCAGGCGTTGATATGTAACAGCAAAAAACAAAGTGTTTCCACACATGGGGTTGGGGTGGGGGTTAACCTGGTGTTCAAATGTTGAGGTTGTCTGATTTTATTATCAAGCTCATAAAATTTAAAACCTTGAAGTTTTCAAGACCACAAACCTCAGACCATATTTCTCCCCACTTGTGATAAACCCCTCTAAATTTTGAAAATATCTTGTTTTACGACTTTTTTGTTTTTCTTTAAATGACAATTCAGACTGGGTGTATCTTAACTACAAATAAAACAGTATTTGACGTAACATATAAAAATATATACTTTGTTTATACAGTGATATATAGGAATTCTTAACAGAGCTATTTACATCTATATACAATTGCGATAGATGAATTGAATATAAAAAAAATTATCTTAAAAATCTACAAAAAAAGGGAAATAAGTAGAGTAAAATTGACTACATGAATATATATTTGTGTAAAACACCAGAAATGGGATATATGATATATATACATTTGTACATGTATGCGCAATATTTTTTCCGACATTAAAACACTACATTAAATTTCCATCCTCATGTTACTACTATAAGGGTAATAAAATTTAGTTTCCCCTGATTTAGACATTTTTCATCCCAAAGAGTAATAAATCATGAAAATATTTTATGGCCTTATTAGATTTAGATAATGGATATCAACACTACATCTTGAATACACCAATGAGTAATATTCTACAATCTTCAATCAGTATTTAGTAAAGTGGTTATAAAATACTTCCTTTATTAAACTCTAATATTGTTTAATGCATCTTAAATTTCCCACTTTAATATCCTGCCAGGCTGAATCATGTAATAGAAATATCAATTAAGTCACATGATGTAAAAAAAACAAAAGAAAAAACAAAGAAAACAGAATGCATGCATGATACATAATGTTTTATGTCTTAATTATAAAAACATAAAGAAGAAAACCCCATTCTTCATATCAAAGAACATTGAGGCAGATTCTAGACTAGCATAAAATTAACAGCCTTTATTCTAAGCATTAAAAGTTAACACAAAATTTGCCGAATTTGTGTACTGGAATTGCCCGGCTACTAATTTGGAACTGTACATTTTAATGTTTAGGGATTTTATAAACAAAATATGAAAATCATGCTGCCTACTCAATAGATCCTGGTTAGAGTCTTCACAGGTGTGTTGGCTGAGTCCTAGCTCTATACTAGTGGTAAAGACTTATCACTTTCAGTTCCAGCACTGGTTAAAGCTATACTCTCCCACATAAAATTGGTCTAAAAACATCATCATATTTGTTTACAGTTATTAAATAGACATCAAGGTAAAATTTGCAGTTTTCATGAGATAGAAAACACCCCTGTTATTACACACATTAACATGTATCAAATGTCAGTTTTAAATCGGATTATCAAGATATCAACCAAAAGTGTTCTACCCGCAACCAACCAACGGATCTTCTTGCAACCAGTTAACAGGTGTGTTTATAATTTAAATCAATATTTACAAAATAAAATGTTGCAATGGTTTAAAATTACAGCATGATAAACATTGCAAAAACTTTACTTATATTTTTTTGTTGGACAAGTCATGTATAAATCATCTAGTTAAATATAAATGTACAAGCCTGTGGTGAAATTTTATCTTGTCATGACATTTTATTACAAAAACGCCCAAACAGCAATGTGTGGGATATAGTAGCTTTAAGTGTTAGTATTTTCAAAGAAAAATTTCAATTGATACAAATGAAACAGAAAATATGTCAACTTACTTGAACAATCCACTTTGAAAAGTTAATACAATATAAACTTGAAAATAAAGCATATGGAAGTTAATTAATTGAAAATGCAGGACAGAAACTTAAGTTCTTCCATTAATCACTCAAGGAGTTAATTAAGATGATTCTTGTATATACTTTCGTAACTGTGTCAGACTATGACAAAATTTTCATTAGAATGAAATTACAATGTATAATTGGCAAGCAATATTACAAATACATTATGATTTTTCAGTTAAAAAATATACTAAAAACACTAGTACCGGTATATAACATATATTATTTTACAACCCCCTGAAGAACTTAGAAAAATATGCAGACTATTTTCTGTCTTTTTTTTCAACTTTAAAAGTTAATTAATATCTTAACTAAATTTTGGATTTCAGTTATGAATTGTAATTCAATTGTACAATGTTATAAACAATAATTAAGATTTACACATATGATGAGAAAATAGCGACTTAGTCTTATTACTAAATGCATAATTTAATTCCTTTGCATTCTAACAGATTATTTAATCAGAAAACAGAAAATGATTTGTAATTAAACATTAGTTTAATAACATGTTGCTATATCTCAAGAAAAAGTACATTAAAATGTACATGCATGTTGTCCTTGTGACACTGAAATTGCTTAATAAGATAAATACCTTAAAAATCTAGTATAAATGAACAGAACATTTTATTACATAATGTACAAAGCTAGAAAAAATTTTACTTGAGAAAATGGGAAAATTTACTTCCTCAAAGCCACCAAAATCTCTAAAGTTAGCACATTTTTTTACTGAACAGAAACATTCTTGCAAAATATATCATGCCTGTAGCCATGCATATAGTATATCTATTTCCTGTTATTACTCATTTAACAATGTGTTATGTAGGCCTTAGGGGCAGGCATTACAAAATATGACTGATATAATTTGTTTTCATGTATGTCCCTTAATATACAATGATTTCTGATCAGATCTGAATTTTCAGCATCTTGTCACAAGCAGGTCTTTTGCAAAGATTAATAAAAAATAAAACATGCAAACACTGCACTTCAATGACAGAGAAAATAAGAACACAGTCTGTATCAAGTTATGCATCAACAACTTTCAAAATCCCTGATAAAAAATGGTCAAATATGCGCATAAAATTCATGTACATAGAAATTGTCTACATGCATAGTTATACTTATGTTTGAAGTTTCTTTGTACTGTATAATTCTTTTAACATTTTAGACTTGTTATACATTTTGTTACTTGAGCTTGTGGCTTATAATAATTACTATTGATTAATAATGATAAATCATTGATAAAAACACAATTCACTAAACAACAAAGTTTTAGAATGGAACATCTTATTTCTATGTGTATAGATTAATTGCCACTTGAAACAACTAAATATTTGGAATGCTTGCATACGCTGCCAAAGTTGTACAGATCAACAATTATACAAGTAAACAATACAATGGTTTTATAAAAATCTGTGCAACAATGGTATGTTTAATTAGCGCCAAAACTGTGTCCACCATTTATTCCTATAGGACTGACGGCAAATCCAATTGCTATATATAGGATCACTGTAAAAATGAATATGCACATACAAGATGTGATTGAATAGCTTGCCCACTTTTGTGCGTATCTGATGTCCGCCCGTCTGTATGCTCTTTCTGACATGACTGAAACATAAGAGAATACAAAATAATTAAATTATCAAATTGATCAACTTCGATTAAACTGTTTCTTTTTACTGTATTTCATACAAAAAGTACTAATTAAGCTAAACTCAGGGATTGAAAATTCCACTTGTCAACTTCAAGTCTTGTATTTGTGAGTAGAATTTGAGAAAATTTGCAGCATGGTGATATATGTAGAAAAACGCAGCCTAATTATAGGCTGACACAACCTTCAAAAGCAATTGTAGATTATCAATTTTGGTTATGTTTTACTAAATAATTCCTCTTATAATGTGGCAGATACATAAGTGAACAATTGATGATTTAGATGAAAATCTAATAAAAAATTGATAGTTAATATGTAAATTACCTGCAAATATCAGAGCTATAGGTCCACAAAGTGGATTTAACACACACAGCAATATGGCTATCAACATGTAGTTTTCTGGTTGCCGACCAATATAGTGACCATTCACTACATCCTTGCGTACATACAATGGGTCTTTACTAACCAATACTTGTTTTGATGTTGAAAGAGTGTACACATCAGACACTGTTGGGGTGAATGACGGGGGGTGAGCTGCCATGTTCCACCTTTAAGTAAATATTCCTACAAAAGAGAATAAACATCACAATTTTGTATGATATTGAAGTGGCAAAGAAAACTAAGTAATACAAATGTAGTTAAAGCTGTATTGAAAGTTGCCTTTCAATTCACAATTTGCTAGATGATGATAAAAAGGCTATTCTCAATAAATTACTGTGCATGTGTACATCATCTGACTATTCGGCAATCTTCTTCCGGATCTCCCTATGTATTTTTCAGAAGTAAAACTTGTATATCAAATAAAGTAAAGAATGGTAGTGTTGGTAGTCTTCACTTTGGATCACAGCAGTAAAATGAATTTACCAGAGCACAGTTCAGCCACCTCTTCATTTCTGGGCAGACTGTCATGCAGTTATTGAGTTAACCTGGCAGTACTAATTGCCTCTAATTTTGCAAAGAAATGAAATTTCTGTACATGCCAGAACAGAGGTACAGTGCAAAGATTTCATGATCAATCACAATGAAAGTTACCTGCGTTGTCCCATTATCGAAACACAGGTCGCTGATTCACAGTCCAACGCTCTACCAATTGAGCGAACTGGAGGACTTTTAAACCAAAGAAAAGGGAATGAACCTTATATAAATTTCTGGTTTGTAACCCCCGTGTATGCATGTATATCCATAAATAAACAGGACGGGCTAATTAAACCAAAGATGGTGGTGGTGTTTTCACTCCGGATCATGGCAATCAGCCACGTTGAATTCACTAGAGCACAGTTCAACCACCAAATCATTCCTGGGCAGACTAGCTGTCAAGCAGTTTACCAGTACTAGTTGCCTTCACTTTCGCAAGGAACTGAAACTTCTGTACATATCAGAGCAGAGGTACAGTGCAAATGACCGTAGAAAGGATTTCAATCATGATCAATCACAATGAAAGTGACCTGTGCAATCTGGGAATCGAACCCGGGTTGCCCGATTCACAGTCCAATGCTCTACCTATTGAGCTAAACTGACAGCTTTTAAACCAAAATAAACGAAATGAATCTTATATTATGATACTCCTGGTTTGTAACCCCTGTGATTTATCCATAAATAGACCCATACATATCAAACCATGCATGCATTGTAATAAAAATGTAAACAAACGGGTGAACAACACATACTAAACTAGATTATAAATTACATGTATTCTTTCAAATTTTCTCACACCTCATCACAATAACACAATGGTATTACCAGAGATGTAGATAACATCTTATGTATCTGGTATTTCCCCCTGGCCATTTTTATCAGTATCATCATTTGATCAATAAAACTTAAAATATACAGTCGAGATTAGTTTGTTGACTGAAAAGTTCTATACAATATATTGAATAGAATTACTTGACATATATGATTTTATGATCATTATGACATACATTTGCCAAGTGTATCACTGTAAAGAAATAAACAAGACAAACAAATAATAGTTTTAGTTTTACTAAAGCTAATCACAAATAATAATTTGGCCAAAATAGTGACTCACCTGTGAAGTTTAAGATAAAATACTGAAAAATCTACAGAGATTTTATATTCCCTGTGAAAGAAATCAGTAAATCATATACACTGTTACAATTTCTTTGCCTTTAGTTCCTCAAAATTGTCACATATTACTTTCCAAACGTAAAATTTTCGATTTTCACCTGTATATTTTCAAAACATTAAATGCGCATGCGTACAGGTAAAATGAAAAGCAACTTCCGGTATGAATTATTTCAAGTGTATTGATCATAATACAAGACCTAAGTTCTGTACGGTTTACAAATTGTGATAGACAAATCATCTCAGTATTGTTTAAGTTAATCAAAATTATACGTTTTATTCTAAATCTGACCAACACATACCTTCCATACTGCTTACAAACAATATATTAGACATTGTGATGTTTAAATGTATCTAGCTGTGATGGCCGAGTGGTTAAGGCGTTGGACTTGAAATCCAATGGGCATTGCCCGCGCAGGTTCGAACCCTGCTCGCAGCGAACTTTTTTTATCATTTCAATTTTTTTTGCATGCATCACTCATTTTACAAAAGTGCAAAATTAATAATAGAATTCAACAAAATCCTTATGTGTTACAGTTAATACTCATACACTAATTGTAATTTTTACAAATATTTAAATATTTTTACAAGATGTTTCTTATAAAAAAAAGTTGTAAACGACAAGTATTCAAGGCTTCGGAATATTTTAATGTTGGAAATAACATGCCTAGGATGGCCCTTTTAATACCATGAATGAATGTTTACTATGATAACCCATCCTAATCTAGTATATTTAGTATAATGATTTAATTGAGTCTTAGATTTTTGTAAATTGGAAGACCGATAGACTGCACTGTTACACGATACTGGTGATTGGGTAGTTATACCATTGATCTTCATATAGCTAATGGACTGGGCTTATCAGACAGGTGATTGGCGAAAATGCCTGCATAAATGTAGTGAAATCAACACATGTGTGTAATTGTTTGAGAGAACAGAAATATAAATCATTACCACTTTAGAGTTGAAAAAAATGCAATTATACATATATTTTTTTTATATCGAATCCATAAAAAATGTACATTTTCTACAATACTTTATGATAATTTAAAGACAGAGTGTTATGAAAGATATTATATAAAAACTGTCTATTTATATGCTTTGGTATATGCCTATGTGTCCCAAATACTGATCCTGTTCTTTGTTATTTCCAAGTTGTCAACAATGTAGGAGCTCTGTGTCAACAATGTTCGTTCCAGTTTAACACTGCCAGATATGGTCACGGCTTTATTAAACATTGGTTGAAAATTAAGTACCGCTCAAGGTGCTGCTATGGGGCGTGAGGGATGTTATACCTCATGTACATCAGACTCAATCAAACCGAACCTGCCATTTTCAGGTAATTTTGTTCTGATTAATGCTTTCGTTGGATCACACTTTATTCATATTAATACTGAACTACATGTTACTAAAAGCAATGTTTTTGTCTTGAGATACATTCATGGCAAAAATAAAGCTGTATGAGGTGGCTCGACTTCCTCCCCTTAGCACACACTTCTCCGGGCTTCTGTATCTATATTAAAGTTTAGCCTTACAGCTCAAGATGTTAACACAGTTACTATCCCTATAGCACATGTATGTACTTGAACATTTGTAGTGCCTGCGTCGAAATAAAGTTCCAAAGTATCCAGTGAACATGGCTGGCCGCTGTTTCAGAATTATCTTCGAGCTTTACGTACGCACCTTGATATTCCTTCTTTGTACTTTTGGCCGTTAGACACATGACTTTAAGTGACTTTTGCAGTGATATTACATTATGAAAAAAAAATCATTCATCAATTGATCCAGCCCAGCCAAGCACACCAATATCGTTAGATTATGAAACACTTAATTCGTAATATTTATCTCGGTATAGTAAAATATTGCATATATAGCCATAATTAAGTGTTGTAATCTACTGATAACTCATGTAACCGTTAATTTTAAAATACATAAAGTATATGAGAAAAGGGGAACTTCCTAATGCGTGGTGTACGTAAACTATGTTCAGTCTCTGTAGCGGTAAGTGTACAATAATGCATCCTAATAATAATAATAATAATAATAATAATAATAATAATAATAATAATAATAATGATGATAATAATAATAATTAATATAAATATATGGTACTATGATATCATTATCAACGGTTTTGTTCGAATGAGGAAATAAATAAATTCATGAGAGATTAAATTTGTGTGACTTCCAGGCCTATTATCTAATCTTTGAACAAATGTAAGATTTTGTTACCATAGATTTATATACAATGTAATAAATTGTATACTGTCTCGATAAGTAGATAAACCACTACTTTGCATTATACTTTTGAGCCTAGACTTTTTGATACTACAATACACTGAACATTATTTCATGGCATTTAGAATGTAAATGCACTTCCAAGGGAGTAATTTATAACAGCCGTGTCTCGTCTTTTATAACAATGCAATGTTTGGCTTTTAGCTTTTTTAAAACGTTTCAATGAGAAATGTTCCGGGTTGTGTAACAATTCTAATTGGAGTCAATTGAGAAAAGGGGTCTAAACCAAAAAAATAAATGTGTATAATAGTTGCATTATAAGTAAATATTGATAAGCACTATACATAATATAGCCGCTACCATAATCTTATCGTTCTGAAATATAACCAAATAAATCACACTGTACAAATTTGTAAACAGATTTCTTGATACCGAAATATCTTACACACTTTTATATAAAGATCCCGGAAGAAATAAACATCCGATATCTTAACTCGGTATAATTTTTCACTGTTAAATATGTATTCAGCTACGCGTAACATATTGACTTAGTTTGAATTGGATGTTTAATTATGCACTAAAACTGTAAGTTTTATATATTCATTTTTTTAATTATTTTGAGCTGATATAAAATTTAAAAGAAAAAAGAATTTCGATCAGTACGACACTACTGAGACAACTGTGGTTAACACGTACAGCATTAAAGAGATATTCAGGCAAAATAATGACACAAATATTAAAATGTACTCAAATCAAGCTAAAAAGGCTTTTCTTGAAGTTTCAGCACGAATTTCTGTTTAAATTCTATATATTTTCGGTTTGAAGTGTAAATATGTCTATATATGTTGAACAAAATTATGACGCCAATAGAATCACCAAATAGTTTTAAAACAAGTCAGGTGACTTGAACAAACCCTTGAAGTTACAATAACAGATATTGTGGATATTGTATGATTGAAGCAAGCCTAAGTCATTCATTTGACATGTTCTTTAACGTTTCCAGAGTTCACTTTGACAACTATTGTGAAATGCTAGGCCTCTAACCTGACCCACGCGGGTCAAGTTAGGAAACCACCATTTTATTCTTTATATGGAGAAAAGTTTTGTTCCTTTGACTGTCTAATATATTTATTTTGATGGCATTTACAGAATAATGAATGAAAAATTAAAAACTAAGAAATGAAAAGTTTGCCTGTGTCTCCCTTTAACGAAGATTTAAGTTTGTAACAATGGTTAGATGATGAAATTTGATCTAAAAAGAAAATAAAAGTCTCTCAACCAGAGACATAGATAATGTTATCTATGTCTCTGTTTCAACCAAGCTGACTGTATACTCCCATATCTCATTTGAAACCGATTGGAACTTATTTTAATAGTAAGTAATATTTGTTTGATATAATCGATTTAATCGACTTATAAGTTGGACATTATTAATATAACAAACCATGGGTAGTTTTGTTAGTTTATTGTTTAGTTAGTTTTTACATACACATGCGACATAATTTGTTATCTTGGGGCGATCTCTTTTTCAAAATTAAAATAAGAAGGTCTTACTCAAACGTAAAAAGTAATTGTTACGTGATTACGACACATTAGGAAGGCTTAAAGTTTGTGTAAACGCCATGTGTAAAATAAAATGGCGTACCGATACTTTTTCATACATTTTGAAGTATTTCATTCCGTCACGTACTTTTAAAGTATTTTTTGCCTGTAGTGGAATAGAGACTATCTATTGTTAAAAGAATTATTCCAAAAACACCAGTTTTAACAGGAAATGTTTGTATTTTTCCTTAAAAGTTAAAAATGGATGCTAAACGGTCAAAAGCCCTGTCAAAATAGTAGACATTTTGTTTCGGAACATTTTATTCTGACTGTATACAATATATGTGTGTTAAATAACAGAAACATTCTTTGTGACAACTCTTTTGAGAATAGACAATAAGATTATGGAAACATTATTTTTACTTTGATATATTTTATGAAAATATTTTATTAGATTATATCTTAAAACCGTGTAAAGATGCACGTGTTGTTTTCATTTTTAAAAGTGTGTGTTTCCGAACAACATATATAGATTAAAGATCGCCGGTTGCTATTCATTCTTCCTTGTTCTAAAAATAGAACAGTCACTTGAAAGAATCACTCAATGTCAATGTCATTGCATCGAATATTTCTGACTATCGGCGAGATAAAACACCAACAAATGAACTGATTTTTTAAGCTTAATAAGACAGAAATGGGCACATCTTTAGAAAACAGAAATATATCTTGCAAACTGTTGTATATGATATTTTATGCACATATTTATTATTGTTCTATATATACATGTATTATACTCTTGTACATAATATTTCATGCAAATATAACACAAATTTATTATTTTTCTCTATATACATGTATTACATAATATTTCATGCAAATATAACACAAATTTATTATTTTTCTCTATATATATGTATTATAAACTTATATGTGACAGATGTACTGAGATGATATCTTAAGCCATTATAAATAAAGTCTGAACGTCCATTTTATTAGTAACTTTCTGAATTTCTTCGAATTTAATACAAAAGAACTTTCAATTTATTTGATCTTTTATATAGCAACATCAGCTTAATGCAGGGTAATGCATTTAGCCCATCATAACGAAAATGAACGTGATGTATATTTTCCTTCCGTGAAAAAATATACAAACTCCTTAAATGGATTTCATTTTTGGTGCAGAGAGGGAAGTGTGTGTGGTGGGGGGGGGGGGCATTGAGTAGGATTTCAGAAAATATATTTTTTATTGTCCTCTGTTGGTAAACAAACACAATTTGCCGTAAAATTGCGAGTGAACAGCTGGCTATTTTTCATTATTTTTTAAGCTACAAGCTTATTGCCAATATCAATCAACGATGTATAAAACACAACTTTCTCTAATAATAATAATTGATAATAGCATTTTGCGTGATTTAGCGACATCCATAATGTTGGTCATCATTTAGGAGCGAACATATGAATATCCTGTCGAATATCTTCTTACTAGTGCATTTTTTAAAAATAACTTTATACTGCTTAACCACAAGGCTAGGGTCTAAGATATTTATATTGTGGCATTTAATTAATACCAAACCTCTATAAAGTTTTATGAAATCTTATAACCAGAATTGACACTAAGATCTTAGAGTTCCATATATATAGCCTTCTAAAGAAATACTTTAAACATTGTTCTTGTCAGAAACGGCGAGACGGCAATGGTTTGTGTTTAGGTACATGGTTAGTACATTACCAAGACTGCTCAACTCGTGACTGCTTGAGGTCAAACTTTGCCATGTCAAAGGTTCACCTAGTCTGCTAAAATACAATGTTTCCTATTTTCTCACAAAACCTTTATTTCAAATGTGAACAATAACTTGGTCATCAGGGAAAAATGCATCTTGTGTAAATCTTCACCCATCAGTCACTGGAGTCAAATCATTAGTCACCAGGGTCAATGTCGTAGTGGCAAACAGGACAAAGCATCACAACATTCTAATTTTCCTCTTAGTCATCATTCCGTTTGCAGTCTTCGTGGGAACGTAGGGGAGAAGCGGATACTGGGTATTTTTACAAGAAAAGAAAGCTTTCCATTGTTTTATTTCTCAAAATCGTTCTTTAAATGTCACGTTTAGACAAAAATCTAAATAAAATCAAACGTAAATTGATTGATGTCGTAAATTGTAAATAATCGGAGGTTTCGATCACTTTATGTCTTCAGAAAAAGTCAGAATCTTCATTTCCATATTATATATGCGTCTCAAGGTCACTAAGCACACCGGAAGTAAAAAAGTTATCTATATGTATCTCAGTCATAATTTTCAAACATTATTATTAAAAAACATTCTGCTAAATTAAATCTTGGCGCAGTCTTAAATGAAAGATTTTTAGGCATTTGAAAAGAGATCGACATAAAAATAATGACCAAAATATACTCCTGAAGGTCAATGTCAAGGACAGTCTTAAAGGTTAAGGTCATTGGTGTACTCAATATCTGTTGAGAAGTATGAGCAAATTATTTTTAAACATTTCGTAAAACTTTCAATGCTATATTTTCATTTTTTTACCAAAATAACAAATTGTTTACCGAGAACATAATATTTTGTTTAAAAAATTAAATGTAGGCAATTTGATGCTATCCTTAAAGCCAAAAATAGCTTCCAACAGCAATTGGGAAAATATGGAAGCTTTAAGCAGTATCATCATATAAATACATTCGTACATCTTGGAGGTAATTATAATATAATTATTATGGGAGTATCGAGTGGATTTTACTAGGATAAAACAGGACCTCACGAGGCACAGTAGCTTTGATTTTAGTGCTGTTTGTAAAATGTATGAGTAATAGATCAAGCTATTCCTATACTAAGCCTTTTGAAGTCCTAATAGTAATACTTATTACTGTAAAAAATATCATGGGAGCGGTTTCACATACGTTTATGCATTTATTGTGTCAGAAGATCACCTTGAACGTGACTTTGAAACTGTAACTTGGGTACAACATCCTAACACACTAGCCTAGGAATATAAAAATAGGTGAGCCAAAGCACAAATATGTGCCAAAATAAGCAAATATTATTATTTGCCTACCTTTAATGCATGTATCACATGCACAAACACTACTCGCAAGAAAAAAATCTGTATGAAACTTAAGTGTAATCTGGCGTTATACCAATTACATTATGGTTGAATCTGTAGTTAAAATTCAACAAGATATTATTATAATTGAGCCGCACCATGACAAAACCAACATCATGTGTTTGCGACCAGCATAGATCCAGACCAGCCTGTGCATCCGCGCAGTCAGATCAGGATCCATGCTGTTCGCTTACAAACCATATAACAAGTAGAGAAACTAACAGCGATATGCATGGATCCTGATCAGACTGCGCGGATGTGCAGGCTGGTCTAGATCCATGCTGGTCGCAAACCCATTATGTTGGTTTTGTCATGACGCGGCTCAATTATTGTATTCTGTTCCATGTTTGTATTAATTTGACAATACCTCTCATGTGGTTAAAGCTACTCTTCAAGTTGGGCCCTATGAACATTGCGAGAACTGCTTACTATAGTGGTATGAATACAAAAATGTTTGTTGTGAAGCAAAACATTCTTGATCTGAATAATAATAAAAAAAACCCCAGAAAAACATTTAATTTCGCACTTTGTAGTATTTATTTCCTCCTTACATTTTTCTGTTCTTATCCTTGTGCATATGTGATGCTTCCTCAACATCTCAACATGTATACATTACTGTCATATCATTGGCGTCCGCGCCGAAGCGCGGCGCCTATTGGAATGAAATGAGATTTTGTGAAAGGGCGACAGCAACTTCTCGAGCCTTTTATAGTTGCCAATAATAAAAGCCGATCATTCCGATGTTGCTGTCGCCCTTTCACAAAATCTCATTTCATTCCAATAGGCGCCGCGCTTCGGCGCGGACGCCAATAATAAAAGCCGATCATTCCGATCGGTATGAGGGTGCTTGATTATTAATTAGTCGCGATATGTACAATGAATGGCGAACTGGAGAATTTCGCAATGCAAACATTTTCAAATGAAATAAC